CTGTCTGAATTTATAAATTTTGGAATATTAAAGTCTCGCATCATAATAATATTACTGCTCTAAACAATCAAAAAAACATTCAAAATCATCTGTAGTCAATTGATCAGATATGTACAATACTAATATATAAAATACTATGTGGCCAATCGAACACTTTACAATAAGCAAGTCAATTGATGGAAATTGTAGGTATATCAAATACAGACCTATCAAACTTGCTTGATTTTATGCAGCTTCTAACTGCCAGTAATATTCCTCCTCCAGTTGACTTCTCCACTAAATATAGTCTACGGTCTTTACGATACACTTCATATATATAAGCAAATATTTCAGCTGTCTATAATAGTCTATTTGTGCAGTCAAAGGAAATAGATACATGTCTATATATACGATTTTTCAATGAGCTGGCTTGTCTAATCAAACTTACAACATCGGTTTCTTCCTACACTGTAATCTTCATTGGTCTATTTCAGCTCTCACCAAAATGACCAAGTCCAATTGACTTTAAATCTTTCAGGCCTTTGCTTCGATCGATATATTTAACAACGCATTTTATTTATGTCTTATTATTTTCGTTCCCAACTTCTGTTGATAGAACTTGATCGTGCTCTGGCACCACAAAAATAATAATGTTGCGCTTACGTTTATTTCTGTCATTATTAATTTCTTGGACGATATCTTCAAACACTATTGAATTTGTACAGGTCCCTAATTGTTTATTATCCTCTTTAAGGCTTTTGACTTCTTGTAGTCTCAGTATTAAAGCTTTAAGGTCCTTTATTTGGTTTCCAATTGTTCAGCAACTAGTACAAAGGCTATTTTATAACTACAATTATCTCTCTCTGTGTAACGTGTGGAGGGTGGGTTATCCCGACTGCACTTACACCTCATTAGGCCCACTGTGCATCCTCCTGAAATGATAGGCACTTCCTAGCTCGTGAGCCAGCCTACAGATTTAATGTAGTTAACAACGTCGCCAAAAGGTGCTTCTCTTATATCGGCCGGTGTTAGCCGATACTCGCCGAACACAAACCTTCTAATAAATGAGAGCGTCGAGCAATCGTAAAGGATATGCTCGATGGTCTTATCTTCTTGTTTGCACCCCCTGCAGGGTGCGGATTCTGACAGCCCCATGATATGGAGATGCTTTTGTACTTGCCAATGACCAGTCAGAATGCCTGTGACTAAGCGCAGATGCTGTCTAGTCATATTCAAGTATTTGTTTGCTGCAGTGTTGTCAGGATAACTTAGGAGCTCCCTGGCAACTTTGCAGTTTCTTGTTTCATCCCATCTTTCCTTGAATATCACAAGGGAATGTTCTTTGATTAGGTCTGTCACTACCGATTTTGTCAGGCTAATATAAGGGCCGGGTCCAAAAAGTATTTGGTTGGCTACTTTCTTGGCTAGTGAATAAGCAAGACGGTTACCTTTCGATGTGGCGTGATCTTTGATCCATCTTAAGGGAGACCACATTGTTTATGGATACTTCGGCCAAAGCTTCGTGACATTCTAGTAGTAACCCTGAGTAAATTCGTAGTCTGTTCAGGGTGAGTAGTGCTTGTATGCTATCTGTATAGATGAGCATGTTCCTTCCAGTGATATTGTTTCTGGTTATTTCTTTTGCTGCTATGAGAATCCTCGTTATCTCTGTTTGAACTACACTGGCACTATTGCTCACAGCCCATTTTATGTTTAGGTTTAAGATTCTGGAGTATATTCCACATCTTGAGTCTTGTTTTGTTTTAGAACCGTCGGTGTAGATATGAATCGTACCTGCCACTTCTGGTTCTTCTATTTGTTCTATTATAACTTTGTATGGCCCATGGAATATATATCTCGGTGAGATGGAGTACATGTTCGCTTGAAGCAGTGGGAACGTATCGAGCGTCTCCTGCCAAAAGCGACGTCTCGCCTCACCAGATCCTACATCAGATTCTATTCCAACCATGCGGAGGTATGTCATTGTCGTCAGAGCAACCTCCTTGATGTAAATATCAAGGGTAATGAGACTATGAATGACTTCCATGGCTCTGGTCGGTGTTGTTTTCATAGCTCCTGTTATGTTGAGACATGCTGTTCTTTGAATTTGTTCTAGTTTACGGATAGCTGTTAATATTTGGGTTTTCGGTACCCAGACAACTGTACCGTATGTTAGCATAGGTTTTATGATAGTCGCGTAAGTCCATGCGACCACTCTGGGGGAGAAACCCCAGGTGCGCTCCGCGGTTCGGCCGCATTGTTCATAAGCAATGTATACTCTTTTAATTTTTTTTTTAGATGTGAGTTCCATGTTAACTTGCTGTCAAAGGTGAGACCTAGGTGCTTTACCTCTGTTGCAAAGTTTAGTTTTTCATCCTTTTCCTTGTGAAAAGTACCATTTCTGTCTTCTTAGGATTGATAGACAATGAATAATCCTTGCACCACTGTAATATAATTTTTAGAGCTACTTGCATTCTTTCGCAGAGTATGTTCTCAAAATTCCCTGTTTGTAGAATGACCAGGTCATCTGCATATGCTATTGTGTAGTGACTGTCATTATTGAAGCGACTGATGAGGGTATCGAGGACCATATTCCACAGTAGAGGTGATAGCACCCCTTCCTGTGGACATCCCCTCGCAACCAAACCTCTTATATTCACACTTATGTTTACTGCTCGCTTTGAGAGCATGTTATGTATCCACCCACTAACTACTTGTGGAAAATTTATGTTGGTAAGTGAGTGTATTATCATTGGAAAGGTAGTTTTATCAAAAGCCATCCTCTTTGATTAGCGCACCAATGCTTTGGTGTGGATCTTTTGAGAGCTTTTTGAAGCCTTGCTGCCTGCGAGAAATCTGTGATTTCTTCGCAGTAGGATCTCCATGCATCTCTCTGTTTTTGTCTGACGATTTTTTTTGTATTTTCTGAGGTGAGATTTGTAAGTATCGCAGTCCTCTTTGAGTTTTGTGGTTCTTGCTTTATTAAAAGATTTCCTAGGCATGTTCCTGAGGTGATCCAACTCGTGACACCACCATGCGGTAGTCGTCTGATCGTGTTGGACCAGTCTCAGAGGACATGATTTCTTATAAGCATTGTTTATTGTGCTTTGGATAGTGTTCGTGTACTTTTCCAAAGCAGTATTATTGTTTGGTGTTTTGGCCTCCATCTCTCTCAGACCCTCTTGGATAAGGTGGGCATATAGGTTGCACTATCCGTCTTCCCAGGGTTCCGAGATAGCGTGGAGGTCGACAACATCAAGTTTATTTTGAATGTTAACCAGCGGTGGTCTGATATCGAAATGTTATCGGACACTTGCCAGTTTAAAATTGATTTATAGATACAAGTTAAAGTGAATCTATTGGTGTTTGACTGCGAGAGTTTAAAAATATTGGTGTGGTACCTTTATTTAAAATACAAAGATTTTTGGTAATTTAATCAAAAAGTGACTTACCTCTAGCGTTGTTATCCTTACTGCACCAACTGAAGTGATGAACGTTTGAGTCGCAACCTATTAGCAGCTCAAACTTCTGTTCCATCTCTTTGCTGGGTGGTGGCGTGGTTGTGTCGGAGGGGAGGTGTGCAGATGCCAGGATTAACGTTCTCTTTTTCTTTTTGATGGCGTATTCCATCCTAACCGCAGTTAAATCGGAGGTGGAAAGATGTGCCATTGAGTGGGCTGTGTATTTCCTAGGAATGTAAATAGCTGTCCTAGGTTGTTGGATGCTGGGCAAGCTAAAAATTGAACCATTTAGATTTTAAGACCTACAATTTTGGTTTTTATTATCCAGGGTTCCTGGCTGAGTGCTATTGTATCTTGCAGCTCATCAAGGTGGTGGCATAATGTTGCCGTAGCCACCATTTTGTGCTGCAAGTTACATTGTATAATGATTACCCCTTTTATTGCTTTCCCAATCCTCCGTTGAAAATTGGGCAGCAAGGTGGTTATTTATTCGACCATCCCTTCCTCCGAAAGTGGAGAGGAGTGATTTCTTGTGGCTCCTCGGAGTTTTCTTGCAAAGTTCCAAGTTCCAGGCACTAAAAATTCTCAAATATACACAATACAAACGTATTTGTAAACAGCACCAACGCTCGCATTACCTGAGCATTGAGCATACATTATTTTATAGGTTATGTACCCTGCCCTGATTCTCCTTCTTTTCTAAAACTAGTAAAACAATTTTACTTATTATTTCCCAACGACAGATCAACTTGTTAGCTGATAATGGCCAGATGGCAATAGCATCAGTTAAAAGCCTTTTGATTTGTACCAAACTTTTATCCAATACACTTCGACTCCTACAACGAAAACTGTAGAAACTTATTTTTGGGAATTTTTGAGTTACCATTATCCAGCGCATATATTTACTAAAAGCTTTGTCCTGGAAATGTATAGTATGTCTAAACGAAGAGGTTAGGCAACCAGAAATACTACCATTACATATAGCAAGTCATTTTAGGCCATAAAATCAAACGGATACTATATTATCTTAGAATTTCTCACAACTAGAAATAATGAATTACTATCTGGCGAATGGACTTAGTATCCGTAGCCAAGGGAAACCTAAATTTAATCACACACATGAATTACTATAGTTTTCGTTATTTGCATGAGTCGAGTTAGGTACTTATTCCTCATTAACCAGCATAATGCTGGGCCACTATCAAAAGGCCAAAAGTAGCATTTTCTTTTCTAATCGTCGCAATTCATTTTCCTTTCAATTACAGCAAAATGCCAGCAATATCCCAGCAATTTGTTTGTTGGATTTGAACAATAAACCGTTTTAAAAATCACTCGATAAATTTCTTTTAAACTTATTAATGTCTATTTTAAAACAAATATCCAAATCGGTGAAGAATTTTGAATCATAGATATTTTTTAAATATTAAATTACTATATTTTTGTTTATTTTAATTTTAAGTTAAATTTTGAACAGTTTTGAGTGTCTCCTGGCCCTCTGTGCGGTTGTAGCAAAGCAGGTACGGCGATGGAAATTTCCATTCGTTCATGGTTTACTATCAGTGACGTTTGACGTTCATGTATGCGCTCAGTTGTTTTCAGACAGAGGAAGAGCGAGAACCTATTCCTATTACACATCAAAGCGACGTCGACGCTCTCGAACGTAATTTTATCTACTAAAAATAAAGAAACTTATCGTTGCGATCTCGAAATTTAAACTAAACCCGACGATAAAAGTTTTGTGTGTCAAAATCCAATCCAGAAATAAATATTTAATCAAAACCGTAAGTGTACTATTTAATTTTATTTATTTTAGATTTAGAGTGAAAGTGCACGGAAAGCAAAATCAATACCCATTTCTATAAAAAACAATCGCGCAGCACGTTTACTTGGGTGGCTGGATTCAGTTATATTTATTTACCGCTTTGACCAACATTAGGTAATATTTAAATTACAAATTGTTTATTATTTGATTTGTATACTATACCTTTATTATTCTGACTGATAGATAGTTTACCTGATAAGTAATCGATTCATATTTTTTTGATTTCCAGTAGTGTATATTGTACGACAACAAAACATCAGCAAATTATTTGTTTATTATAAACAATTAATTTAAAAAATTTACTTAACTTAATTTAACATGTACCTATTGGGTGTTTTTTTTTAATAATAATTAATAATGATAAATATAACTTTATTAAAAAGAAAATATACAATATTAAAAATTATGCAGAAATAGAATAAAGTTAAAGACGTGGTAAGAATCAAATACTTGTTTCACATAAAAAATGTAATATTGGGTATGTATATTTGTAAAGCTTTCGGCCTTTGTTTTGTGCCTTCTTCAGTACTTTGTTAAAAATTTTTTTACTGATTCATTATTAAGTATCTTTTATCTTCTATTACTTCTGTTTTTTTTTTATAATATATACCTAGGTACTTAACTAATATTCACAATTTATTTGTAACTCATTGTATGTGAAAGGAATGTATCCATACTCTAGTTTTTATTATATTCGTACAAATGGGGACAGGTACAATTTATAATGGAATTTTATTTTATTTTTTCAACAAAATACTGCATCGTAAAATACCCACAAAACTCGTTTTTAAAATAAATATAACTTTGTGTCCCGAGCTGATGAGGGTCTGAAACCGCAAAAAATTGAGAGTGTATAGGTACTCATGTAAGAGTGAACAAAAAAAATCCATTACAAATTGTATTTTTCCCAATTTGTATAAATATAAAAAAATCTGGAGTTTGGATGCCTTTCAGATACAATGAGTTACAAATAAAATGTTAAAAATTAGGCAAATACAGTGTATGCCATAAAGATTTGTATGAACTTATTAATAACTTCATGTTTAAATATAATTGTTTTTTGTATAATATACACTGTGTTCCATAAAGTTGGATGCATATGGGATTTTTTTTAATATTATGATTGGAAAAAACATCGTAGGCATTTACCGCTGCTTTTTAAAAACTGAAAATAGCTCATATTAGTTATCTGTCAAATTCGGTATTTTTTTGGAAAATCGTTCAAACATTTTTTTAATGCGAATTTGACAGAAAACTAATGTCGATAGCCAACTCTGATTTATTTAGGCTATTTTATGTTTCAAAAGAAGCAGAGGTGACTGCCCTACGACGTTTTTTCCAATTGTAATATTAAAAAATCCCATATGGATCCAACTTTATGGCATATACTGTATTTACCTAATCATTAACATTTTATTTGCAACTCATTTTTTATATTTGTACAAATGTGGAAAAATACAATTTGTAATGGATTTTTTTTGTTCACTCTTACATGAGTACCTATACACTCAGTTTTTTGCGGTTTGAGGCCCTCATCAGTCTCATCACTTGTGTGAAGTTAGCGCCCGGCGCTGGCGCCCAATATCAGCGCTTACCCCCCTCCACAAAGACAAGTTCACACTGCTTAAATTCATCAATACTTTGAGTAGTTACAATTTTTCATTTAGGTACTTATTAATGAGTAAAATTTATAATAATATGTAATGAGATGATATAAATTAAACATAAAAATATATCAATATAATTTTACGTAACCACAGCGTTTTTGTATCAGATATATTCTGGCTGTGCGGATTTTTAAGACCTATGAGAACTATAGGTAATATTATTATGGACGAGGGATTTATTTTTGTACGAGAAAATGATGCGTTGTACCACATTCTGGTTATGTGGGATTTAATCTGCTACTTGAGGACTACTTTTTCTAAAAATGGCGGTTTTCTAAAACCCCGGCGTCATAGATTAAAAAGCACCCCTAAAAGATTATTATTTTTTTACGAGGAAACGGCGCTTTGTGCCACATTCTGACTAAAATTTATTGCCCAAGTAGCAGATTAAATCCCAAATAACCAGAATATGGCACAAAGTATAATTTTCTCGTAAAAAAATAATATATATTTAGGGGTGCGTTTTAACCTATGACGCCGGGGTTTTAGAAAACTGAAATTTTTAGGGAATGTAGTCGTGGGGTACCTGATTAACTTCCACTTAGTCAGAATGTGGCACAAAGCGCCGTTTCCTTGTAAAAAATATTAATCTTTTAAGGGTGCTTTTTAACCTATGACGTCGAGATTTTATAAAACTGATATTTTTAGAAAAAATATTCTCCAAGTTGCATATTAAATCCCAAATAATCAGAACATGGCACAAAGCATAATTTTCTCGTAAAAAAATAATATATATTTAGGGGTGCGTTTAAACCCATGACGCCGGGGTTTTAGAAAACTGAAATTTTTAGGGAATGTAGTTGTGAAGTACCTGATTAAATCCCACTTAGTCAGAATATAGCACAAAGCGCCGTTTCCTCGTAAAAAATAGTATTCTTTTAGGGGCGTTTTTTAATCTATGACGCCGGGGTTTTAGAAAACAGTCATTTTTAGAAAAATTAATTCCTAAGTACCAGATTAAATCCCAAATAACCAGAACATGGCACAAAGCATAATTTTCTCGTAAAAAAATTATACATATTTAGGTGTGCCTTTTAACCTATAACGCCGGGGTTTTAGAAAACTGAAATTTTTAGAGAATGTATTCGTGAGGTACTTGATTAACTCCCACTTTGTCAGAATGTGGCACAAAGAGCCGTTTCCTTGTAAAAAAGTAATAATCTTTTAGGGGTGCGTTTTAACCTATGATGCCAGGGTTTTAGAAAACTGATATCTTTAGAGAAAATAGTCGTCAAGTAGCATAATAAAGCTCAAATAACCAGAATATGGCACAACGTATAATTTTCTCGTAAAAAAATAATACATATTTAGGGGTGCTTTTTAACCTATGACGCCGGGGTTTTAGAAAACTGGAATTTTCAGGGAATGTAGTTGTGAAGTACCTGATTAAATCTCACTTAGAATGTGGCACAAAGCCCGTTTCCTTGTTAAAAAATAATAATCTTTTAGGGGTGCTTTTTAATCTATGACGCCGGGATTTTAGAAAACCGCCATTTTTAGAAAAATTTGTCCCTAAGTACCAGATTAAATTCCAAATAATCAGAATAGGGTACAACGCATAATTTTCTCGTAAAAAAATAATACATATTTAGGGGTGCTTTTTAATCTATAACGCCGGGGTTTTAGAAAACCCGCTATTTTTATAAAAATTAGTCCCTAAGTAGCAGATTAAATCCCAAATAACCAGAATATGGCACAACGCCTAATTTTCTCGTAAAAAAATAATTCTCTGGTCTATAATATTACCTATAGTCCTCATAGGTCTTAAAAATAAATCCGCACAGCCAGAATATATGTAATACAAAACGCTCTGTAGTTACGTAAAATTATATAGATATATTTTTATGTTCAATTTATTTAATCTCATTGCATATTATTATAAATTTTTCTGGTTGTCTCACTTATTAACGAGAAAAAGAAAGAAAAGTATTGATGAATTTAAGCAGTGTGAACTTCTCTTTGTGGAGGGGGGTAAGCGCTGATATTAGGCGCCAGCGCCGGAAGCTTACTTCACACAAGTGATGAAGGCCTGAAACAGCAAAAAACTGAGAGTGTATAGGTACTCATGCAAGAGTGAACAAAAAAAATCCATTACAAATTGTATTTTTCCCCATTTGTACAAATATAAAAAAAATGTGTAGTTTGGATGCCTTTCAGATACAATGAGTTACAAATAAAATGTTAAAAATTAGGCAAGTTTTCTGTTAAATTAGCATTTAAAAAAATGTTTGAACGATTTTTCAAAAAATACCGAATTTGACAGATAACTAATATGAGCTATTTTTAGTTTTTAAAAAGCAGAGGTAAATGCTTACGATGTTTTTTCAATCATAATATTAAAAAAAATCCCATTGGATCCTACTTTATTGAAAACAATTTATATTATAAAAAAACAATTAGGTTTAAAAAGTAATAGAAGATAACAGAAAATAATAACTTAAAAAAAAGTACAAACGAAGGCATAAAAAAACAAAGGTCGACAGCTTTACAAATCATAAGTTAAAACAAAGTTATGACACTTTAAATATTAAATATTGCAGCTGAGGGTTTAAAAAACAATTAGTTCATTTCGTATTAATAACTTTAATTCACATAAACACAAAACTAAAGCGATTAACAATAATAATTAGAAAAAATTAAATTCGTGTACAAATGATTTGTACTCGATTTGTGGTTCAATTATGGATTGTATTTAAAATTAATAGTTTTTTTGTATATTTTATGCACTATTTACTGACGCTTCGGGATTTTCATCATGTCATATTTTTTAAGATATGAAATTTTAAAAGAATTACCCTATATTTATATTTTTTTCGGATAGATTTGTTTTTATCTGAATCCGTCAATGTAGGGTTTGAGGGTCTTTGAGTTCATAATAAAATAGAAAGTAAACATTTATTTAATAAAAAATATTAATTACTTTACATCAATCGAAGTACACAAATCTTTAAAAATAAGTGTTCGAAGTGAAAGCATCCAACTGTCTGACAATATCCTAGTATATTAACAAATGAAACTTCAGGTGTTATTTCTTGAACAGCAATTCTTATTATGCTAAATGACCCCGAAGAAAAATCTAGTGGGGATAAATCCGGTGACCGTAGCGGCCACTCAATATGTCCTCTTCGATTCACCCATTTCTGCAGAAATATTGTGTTCAGGTACTGCCTCACTCTAGCATCGAAATGAGGAAGGAGAAGCACCATTTTCATCAGAAAGTTCTAAGTGACTTCTATGATTTGGAAATAAACGAATTAATATGGAACTATAGCACAAGTAGAAGTTGAAAAGG